GACATGACCCTAGCCCCCCCCCCCCCCCCATTCCACTAATATTCGTGTCCTGGATCCGCTCCTGTGCTTTCCTTTTTTTAACGGATATTAAAGAACACTCGTAAGTAGGCCTACAAGTAGGCAAATTTGCCTCGGACGCCCAGCGTCTTAAAAATGTACACTGACTGTAAATCAGTCGTGCTTGCAATTACCAGTACAATAACAGCATGTTTGCAAGATTTAAGACAATTCAAAATAAGTGAACTTGGGGAGATTTCAAGTTAAAGACCTCAAGATTATTACTAAACACGGCATAATTAGAAAGGGGTCCTAGACGTATACTGTACATGTATATAGCAATCCTGGGACCCTAAGTCCCACGGGTCTTATAGTAGTCCATATGTCAACTTTTTTTGCTGGGCGACGTCATTTATTCATACATGTACAGGTTTGAATTAGACCTGCTCTGAACACAACTTAACCACGTGTTCCCCGGCATTCCAATCAATTATATTGGCATGTCCAGTCTTCAGACACCAGCACAATTAACATGTCATCAACTTAGCTTGAAGTCATAACAAGGGCGTTTACAATGTACTGTGAGTTGATTAAAGTAGTAATTAATTCTCCCTCACCTTGTTTATCTACATGTATGATTAATTATTTAGCCATTAATCATTAAAAACAGCCATTCGGCGAAATCTTCTTCCTTTTTATGAAACTTTAATACGTAATTAACCATCCGTGTCGGTGAAAGTTCACGTTTCACTTGACATTACCTGTTTTTAGGTCATATTTCTTTTATTTTTCTATTCCGTGTTTCAATGAAACAGTTTTGAAGCATTTTGAGATAAGATACACTATCTTTCCCAGTATGGCACCTATGATATATTGTGAGCAATGAAGTACAGATATAGAACACAGGAATAGGACACAGTGCCGTAACTGCATCACAGTGCATACACATCACAGTGGGACACTGGGGATAAATATAAAACATAGCCCTTAAACAGGTAACCTTTGGTTCCATATTCATTAGCCTGGATATATCTACTATACACCAGCCACAATGAGTGCATTTGTACTTTACTATATAAAAAAATACCGGGGGACGCTGATTGCATGCACAACACGTTAGGTATGAATGCTCCCTGTACATTCACTTAGACCTCGTTCAGAATAGGGGACTAACTAGTCCGAGGGTCAAATATGGCCGACCCACTTGAATACTTCCCCACGGGATATCTATTCAGTGTCTATTAGCGGATTAGACGGCAAGCTTTGTATTAGGTCGCCACATTTGACACTCAGACTAGTTAGTCCCCTATTCTGAATGGTGCCTAACAGGAATGTGTGTGTGTGTGTGTGTGTGTGTGTGTGTGTGTGTGCGTGCGTGCGTAAGGGGGGTCTGCCAGCAAGGGATGGTCTGGTAAAAGATCTCCAATAAGTTTCTGTAACAGTTCAGATATGTACAAACACAAGTAAGCGGTGGAACCATTTTGAGGCCTTATTATCATGTGAACCGGCTGATTGTTTGCGACAAAAGCAATTTTTTCTCTTGCACGCGGCGTGAGTCGACATACATTTTTCATGTCCTGTGTCCACTGTTTCAACATGGGCTGTCTAAACCAATGATGAACGTATTCCTCGCAAGCCCATGAGGAAGGCAATAATTGTCTTAGGTAGGTTTACAAGCAATTTGTCTGTGGGAAAACAGCTACAAGTGTAGGCCATTTAGTCAAATGCATCTATTCATATCTTTGACCTTAAAACGTCAAATACGAAAAAGTCAAAACATCAATCATCGTAAATATGATTATAAAATGCCAGTGGTCCACGGATTGTCATACCTCTTGGATCCTACACGCGTCATCAGAGACGAAATGTGATGTTCACGGTGATAGGAACATGTCCTTTACATTCTCATTTGGCAATGCACTGCATGAATATATATGCAGCCAGGCCTAACTATACTTGCCATTGCGCACAATAACTGTTAATGACAGCCTACTAATGTGGCACTGGCTGGTGAGACAGGAATTAAAGGGGAAATGAGAGAGAGAGAGGGGGGGCTCAAGCTGCAAGTCTTCCCTTCATTGGGTGGTTGATTGGAAGGGGGAGGGCATTCATGTACACTGTAGGCTACCTTGATTTACCAGTAAGGGTGACATTATCTCTGCGCGTGTACGCTGAGCTTGACGCTTGCCATAGCCTGAATACAAATAGGCCTAATCCTCAAGCCACTAATTCTCTCTCTCTCTCTCTCTCTCTCTCTCTCTCTCTCTCTGTGTGTGTGTGTGTGTGTGTGTGTGTGTGTGTGTGTGTTACATGTACATCCTGTTACTTATTACTTACAGATGTGATAAACCAAACGTCTGATCAACTATATATTCGACGAGCGTCAAGGCTATGCTGACTCTCAAGAGGTAGAGTTTGACTCATTGCGCCATATGGGCTTCCTGGTATACACTCGGTGTAGGCCTACACTAGCGTACTCAGGGTCGGTTCCGTCGGTGGCGGAGGCACCCTGGTACTGGTCGAGTGGAAAATGCGAATCCTGAGGACTGGAATGCAGTCAGTCCATGTCCAGTAGTTATTGTATGCGGACTATAAGTCATACAGCACTAACGCCCGTGTTATCTCAGGCATTCCAATATGGAGTCCTATATTTAGGTCAAATGTACAAATATACACTGGGCCCTCGAGTGTACTAAATATAATGACAATAATAGCCGTTTTGTGTTGCATGCGTTTATATTAGGGGAAAATAAATTTCCAGGTCAGGGGGTCCATTAGAAAAGTAAACTATTTTTTTTACTTAGACGTTATACTTAATGGCCTATTTAATATAGGGGCCTAAAACAGCTAGCTAGGACCCATGATAAATATGACAGGATAAATCGAAAGTTAGATATAGCATCTTTAATTTAAAGTTCACTGTGATAACTGTCGCAAGCTCATTTGATGCAGCAATCTGTAGCAATTCAATGATAACCACACTGCAGGGAGGTAAGCGCGCAAAACAACATATTTTATCAAAACCACTTCCGTAACTTGCAAAATAAATTTTGGTTATCATTGAATTGCTACAGATTGCTGCATCAATTTCGTATTGTTGTATTCAAAATTAAAAATTAAAATAAGTGTATAGTTGTGTCTTGTCATTGAATTTTGCTTTATTTATTTTCTTTAACTTTTTTTCTTCTTTTTTTTTTTAATGTAGGCTTATATGGGCGAGTAAAGAGCAAGGCTGCATTAACAACCAAAGTTGATCCGCGGACTAACAGATCAGCGGATCAAATGTGGCCGACCTATTTGAAAGCTTGCCACGTAATCTCTGCGGGGAATCTATTTATTGCTTATTAGGGGGTTATGCGGCAAGCTTTCGAGTCGGTCGGCCATATTTGATCCGCTGATCTGTTAGTCCGCGGATCAACTGGTTCTGAATGCGGCCTAAAAGTAAATTGGACCCTGCGGGCCCTGCAGTGTGGCCCTTCCCTGAACGTACAACAAAGCCCCTTCGGGCGGTATCCTGCTGCCTTAATTTAACCAAAGATACATTAAAAAACTGGTTGAGTCAGTGCCTGGAAATATGAATGACGTCATCTGGGTTTGTGACATCCACAGGAAAACTTAACTGTTTGCAGGAAATCTTCGTGGGATAATGTTTACTTTGGGAGACTCCGGATTTCATGCTTTCGTGGATGGGACGTTTACTCTTCTATAAATTGATGTATAGCTGATCACCAAAAAGATATCCACATGGAAAAAACTTCACAAATTTTATAAATTTACTGTCAGTTTAGAGTTAAAGATAGAAACAAATTAAACCCCAAAGTACTGGTTTAATGATGCAATTTGTCTTTGTTTGAAATCAAAGGTGTAATGTTCTGTTGGAACATTCCAGCCATTTAAGCAAGAGTGTAGGTAAAGATTTTGGTCTCATCCACTACCCCCCTCCCCCCCNCCCCCCAAAAAAAAAAAAAAAAAAAAAACACCTCTCTCTCTTTCTCTCTTTTTTTCTCTGTCCGTCTGTTCGTCTGTCTGTCTGTCTGCACTCTAGCCGCTACAACAAGCCATATACGAGAGACCATTGTGTTTCCCCACTCTTATTGATAACGACTTATTTCAGCTGACGCTTATCGCATTCACCCTTTCGCGGCACCTACTGTATGTCTTCATGGATTATTGAGATAAACCGACCGTTGATTTTTTCCAAGTTACAAGTAGGCATGATTAAATACAATATCTAGAAGGAACGACTGCACTTAATCGTCCCAGTGCTAATAATTATCCCCTTAAGACACCATAAGAGGGTCAGAAAATGAATCTTAGATTATGTGGAAGTATTTTTTCCGCACGTGAGGGTCGGAAGGTTGGTATGAAAGTGTAGCAGTAGCAATTCAGACACGCCTCTGACAGGATTTGATATTTGAATAATTCCACGGCGATTCTCTCCGGACTATTTTCCCCCAAGCACAACTCACCCGGATGATAACCACGTGACCTGCTATTTAACCAGTTTTTGTTTCTTTGAAAATGGAACGCTTTGAGAGGTGGCTATGATACTATACAGATGAAAGCATTCAAAGTATTTGGAATGTCCTTGTTTGATTATATCTCAGATGAAGAATATCCCAGAAAAAAACACCTTAACCAAATCACTTTACTTATACTTACTAGTTGACATCGTCTTTCCTCTAACAGTGTGGTTCTGGAAACGTAGAAATGGAGTTCTGAGCAACTTTATGTTTATTTATTTATTTATTTATTTATTTGATACTTTTCATTATATGTTTGACAGTTGTGGAGCGGTAAAAGATTGAATACAGTGTCTGTAATAAGATTAATCTCTTTTGCCTTTATCAAAAAAATTAATTGCGCTCTTGACGTACTTAATTTTAAAAAATACGCCTGTTGAACTGTATCAAAATGAAAAGTCCCCTTTTCTTATTCAGAAAATGGCTAATAAAAGATAGGGATCAATACATTCCACGATCCCAATTCATAGCGATACGATCTCGCTTAGGGCAGAGATTGATTGAAACGATCGATCTCTCAAGAAAGCCGGGCTTTTCATTCAGATGCTGTCACCAATGAACATGAACTTGTTACCGTTCCTAGAAATGCTTGGACTCTATTCGTTAAGCGAGAAATGACGTTTCTCCACAATCATATACATGTATGGATATCCAATGGCTTGTTCAAACTAAAAAGTATTTTAGACTGAATGATTGGGCTTATTTACTTGACCAAACAAGCCGATTCCTGTGAGAGCTGTCTGACATTCGATTCCCTGGATAATTAATGCGGACGTCTGATGACGCAGTGCAATCAGATTCCCGTTTTAATATGTATGTTTTAGCAAAAGAGGCGTGCTTGACCTTTGCCCCAGCAACAGGATAGAAACCACAAAACTTGCAACGAATTCCGGGTCTCTTTCAGAAATCTGGTAGGTGTTGCCAATGCTGCATCCGAGGTGCAAGGCTGGAATGAGCTGCACGGCATCTACTCACTCTGAGATTGACAATGGAGAAGCGAATCCAATGCTTTACTATAGTCACACTTTTTACAGGTGAGTGAAGCTTGTTGATTTGGCACGTTACTGAAGTTTAATTTTAGATTGTAGTATTGCATACTTGGAATATAACACCAGCACGTATGAATCTCAACACTGTCGGCGGTTTCACTTTCGGTTCGTCAAGTAATTTAGAACTGTTAGACCGGCTACGTCTGGTAAAGTAGCCATTATCAACAGTGTTGATAAGTTCTGTCACTGTGATAACATCTTTGTGTACGATTAGCTTCTAATGACGATTGACTTAATTAGATGTACTGCACTTGGCGGCCTCCGTTCTAGCGTGAAGAATCAGTCACTCGTTCAGAATGGAGATTTCAACTTCACGCGCTGGTTAATCCATCAAACCGCTCTCAAAGCACTAACTTAGATTACATTATATTTTAAGAGCTTCTTTACAAATTTTTGCTAGATTGGATATGATTTCACAATGAACGATTCCTACTGGAATTAACGCACTTTATCCAGCGACAAAAATCAGCTCAGAAGAATGGACTTGAACGAAAAATAACACGAAATATATATAATATAATAACAAAAATATAAGTCCCCGGTAAATATATCAAGATGCAAAGAATATAAATATATGATTGACATGTAGACTGTAAAGATTATCTCATTTTCACTCAACGTGGAAATGTATCCTTAAGTTACAATTCATATGCATGCATGTCTGTGCCTACGTATTTACATGTCCACATGAAAAAATTCTAAAGATATATTTCATATTATTTTATTCTTTTTTTACATATATCAGAGATCATCCGTAGGAAGCTAAAAAAGGGTCAACAAAACAAGTGATGATAAATAAACAATGTCTCGTAGAGCGTGTTAAATCACAAAATGTGTTTATAAGAGAGACAGAGAGAGAGAAAGGGGGGAGAGGGCGAACCGTTTTAGAAAAAATGAGAAACAAACAGAAATGTCCAAATGGACATTCCGTTCGATGTTACATACATTGAATAGGATCCACCCTGATTGGCAATGTTGGGTTCGTACATGTATGCATTCGTTTGAAAAGGTGGCCCTGTAAGTCATCAAATTCACCCCGTATAAATGATAAAAATGGTTTTCACTTGCGCTTCACGTTAATGGTCAAATGTTTAAATCGTTACCGTTTCACTCTATGAGAATTGTAACTCGCTTTTGGGTTATATTTCAACATTAGAGCCAAAGTACAAAGAACCCACGGGGCAACGATTATTCGATTGCTGAAATGGATAATACCGTGTGCTATTCAATTAGCACGAACTTGGTCTTATATGATTTTCTCTTACAATTCTATCGGGACGGCTCGTTAGGCGATCTTTTGACTTAAAGTCTTGGTTTCCGTTTCTGGCGCTGCCCCTCATTGGAAGACTGAGGTATTTTCACAACACAGATGCAAGACACACCTATTCAAGTTATCCAAAGCTGCGACACTTCATTTGCCAATAATTATGTTGACTGCCAAAGGACATTTCTTCTATTGGAAAATTATTGAAAGTTTCACATTCTGATTGCATAGTCCCATTTTAATCAAGATTGAAACTAATGTCTGTCTGGCTCTGTCTTCAGAGAGAGAGAGAGAGAGAGAGAGAGAGAAAGTCATTAAAATACAAACACTATTACGCAACCAGCTAATGATAGATAGGGCGTTCTTTCATAGATCTATTGAATCTACAACCAAATAAACGTGCTCCATTGAACGGGAATCGACAGCGTTAGTTTGCATGGAAGTCGATCAAGCAAACGCCAATTTCCTTGACCTCCATAACTGCATTACTTAAATCAAGTTAGAGATCAATGCGTTAATTACCAACTGGACTGTACTTAGTAATACGTATCTGATTGGCACACGTACATGTACAGTTGACGGCGCTGTCTTTTAACAATCGACACTCTTTTGGCCCGTAATATTGGCCTGCAATAACCTTGGTTGTTTGTGCTTCTGGCTGGTGACCAAACTGATGAAAATCTGTCGGCTTCACACTTAATTAGCACCACCATATATATATATATACTGGGGCACGAGAATAACACGACTTTTTATTGACATTTAAACAGAGGGACACAAGCTGTTAAATTATATATATTGAAACTATATCCAAGATAGACATCTTAACTGATTATCTCATCAATTGCATACATTTCAGGGGAGGGAAATATATAACTTTTCTCTTTCAGTCTTTTTCACGATCAGTTCGGACCAAACTGGACTCATTCGAGGATGACTATTCACTTCGTTCCATGAATATGATACCCTTCTCTTGTATACTGTTAGCTCTGAAACACAGCTATACTCTTCGGGGATGTGTTGACGATGGCCACTAAAACTAAAATGTGGTTTTCTTCTGCTTAGTGTATTAAAAAACCCACCGGTCTGCTACATATACGACGCCATTAGTGTCCGGGAAGCTTACACATACAAAGCGTACACTATAATAGTTTCAAGGGGACGTGCTGCATAGTAAAACCCCTGTAAGAATGACTGCAATGGAGCGTAGTTAACGTTCGTCTTATTGCCCTCTCGCCATTTATAGTCCCACGAGATCATTGGCTTTAACATGTTCATCCAGTTGATTAATCTTTTCATAACTTAGAGTGGCCAACTGAACTGTCCCTTAGGAAATGCTGAACCTGGACTCAAACTTAAGTGTTCTCCGTGTGCGTGCGTGTGTGCACATGATTATAATCCAAGAACATTAAAGCATTTGTAGTTTGGAATTGGCTGGTTTTCAATGTCAAGGTATGACATGTGTATAAAATTTCTTACAAATACACGTATTTTATGCTTGTATATGTTGAAGACCATTGGCGGCATTGAACAGAAATTGCTTTAGATATTGCTTGTTCTTCCATCAGGTGTATGGTTCGTGGTCACGAAACTGAAGCCACGATATCAATAATTGAATGACAATTAAAAGTGAGCTGTGTTCTTTGGGCTGTTGCAAAGGCATAATTCATATCATAACAAAAAATCGGTTTGACCAGAGTTCCTTAATTTGCAAACGCGCCCCCCCCCCCTTTTTTTTATAGATACTGGATTACATGCAGACGGCCGCCTCTTTCTAAAACCCAAGGAAAGACCGTTTCTTTCCTTAATGGGGGGAGAGAGACACTATACAGATGCAAAACGTTCTCACACCTGATCATCCCTTCTGTCCTCTAATAGATACTTTGACAGCAAATTAACTTACTCTTAAGTGACCATTAGCAATGATGAAAAGTTGCTCTGTGTCTTCAGACATCGCTGTCCACTCCCTAGAGTGAAACGAACCTGCTCCGACCACTAACGTACAAGTATGTTCATCTAAACCAACTTCTTTTTGCCATCAGACCACCTGAGAGGCAAAATAGGCACGGAGATGTGGGACTTCATAGCAACGATAACAGAAGGGCGTGGGGTGCTGGGGGGGGGGGGGGGTTCAAGAGATTCGCCCTCTTGGTTGGACATGTCCATCCGGAATCAAAATCTGATCTAGGTTATACAGAGGGACACGTTTATTCTTATGAAGGGGTGGCACATGCACGCTTTTTTTTTTTTTTTGGTTGGTTTTATTCATATCCTTTATTAAACACCATTAAGTTATATAGGTATAATATAATTATATATTAGGAATACATCTGTGACTGTATGCATGCTGAGTTTAAAAACCATCACTGTTGCATGCAAATGGACAGATTTACACACATTACTTAATTATATCCAGCCGGTAAATGACAACTTGGTCGGTTGACATTTAAAACGGAATAATTTTAGGTGCCACCTAATCCAGAACTTGTGTTATGAACAGGTCCAACTAATTGTCTCGATTAATATGTTGGCCTTATACCTTTCAAAAAGTCACTCGAGCCTTAATTTTTCCGGTAAGAGAAATCACTTTCGAAGGTGCAAATAGTCAGTCAGTCTGTTTCGTTAAATATTTAATTCTAAAACAGATTTTGTTAACATGCGATGAGTATATACACCCTCCCAGGCAAAGTAAAGCCCTGCAGTGAAACCTATAACTTGTTTGAAGAAGGAAACCGCCGATTCCACACCGCTTTTCGGCGGGGTCAAGTTACCGCTACAGCTGCAAACATGACCCCATCTTATGTTGTTTGGTCAAATATAATCTGCTGGATTTTTTTTTTTTTTTTTTTTTTTTTTTTTTTTTTTTTTTGGGGGGGGGGGTACATTTGCATCGATGTGGGGCTCGTCTCAATGGTTCAATTTTCTTTTTCTTTCAAAATTAGAACCGAAAAATTCTCTTTACCAAATTAAAATTTGGACAGGTTATAGTGTGCTACAAATGTCGAAGCCAAAGTGAAATGAAGAGAATCCCATTCTAACCTTGGATTTGACCTTTCACTAATTTTTCAAGGTCAGACAGAATTTTTCATTTGCAGTGTATTAATTCTTGTATTGACGGTTTTTCGAAAACTTCAAGCACTGTTTAGTTGAATTTTGTATAATGGTAAATACTTACGTGAATGATGATTTACAGTATTTGGTGAATGTACACATTGATGGGCGTCAGTGTTATAACATGTAAAAATGAAACAGTGTTAACGCTGTTGGATTTTTGCATTAAAAAAGAATGAGGATTACTTGCATGGAGCAAGTACATGTAATTCTCTATAATAAAAATAAAATAAATTTGTAAAAGTGTGTTGAAATATCTAACCCCAAGCAGTTGCAGTATATACCAAAATTGATGATTTAATTATCAATTATGAAAAGTTGCTGCACTAACGTGGTCGACTTATTAGAACACTAAAAGCCATTGTGCAGCTCGAACTCCCATAGGTGCTCCTAATATATCAGCATTTTTGTAACTTGCACTTAATCCAATATTTGCGACATCGTGGAATCTCTCCAAGGACACTGGCGTTACTTAACGACACAATTGGCCACGTTTCTGTGCATTTTTCTATTTTTTTGTTAGAGCCGTGGCGCATTTATGCATAGTTGTTGTATTATCCCAAAGGCCAGTTAACGACAGATTAACTTTGTTTTCTGATGCCATGAATAAAATAGGTTTGTCAAGTTTACTGATCAACAACGTTTAAGTATAATGGTACTTTGTACCCTGGACAACAAACAAATACATTTGGATATACGCTACCATGCTTATAAACCTATGGAATCTGATCAGGCTTGCGTTTTTATTCTGAAGATAGGTAAAAGCAGTGATTCGCCTTCCCAGCGTACATGCACCTCATATCGACAGCAGGAGCGTGTCATGATAATGGATGTCCCTTGGAATTTCTTATGGGATTCAGTTCATTAGAACGCCTTGCATGCATGCATGTTTTGAAATTACCTGCATGTTTTACACCGTGCTATAAGCGAGCGATCATGAAGGATGAAATAGACGCAGGTGTATCGGCCGTCTCAATTTTAGGCGATTTTATTTGTCATAAATAAGCTTAATGGGCTGGCGTATTTCACTTTTAGAGTATTAATCATGTTTTTTTTCTTGTTTATCTTGGAATAAGAAAAATGCATCCAACTTACATAAAACACCGAGCAAGCTCCGACTGGGAAATATTACACACACTTGATTGCCGTATGGTTTAATGAAGTAGGTTACTCCCCTATAATTCGTTCTCTTTCTCAGACCTAATTGCATACCTAAAGGCGTCCCAATGTGAACATTGGCACTACTATAAGTATATGAAGTATGGCAGATAATTAACTGTCATCTACCGGAACTATGATGATCACCTTTGTAGAAACCTTTCTAACTGGCAATCTGCTAAGACCAGACCCAGTACAATATATCTTGAAGTTCCTACCAATGTGCCACGGTTACAACTGAGAGTGTAATGAACAAGGCCCGCGGGGAGTATATTGCACTTACAGATACAGATAGCCGCACCCTTAACACGCTTACCTTGCTTGTGTCTATATTATTACTTTTCTTAATCACCATTTCCCTGAAAGGAATCTATTTTCGGTCAACTTTGCTGCAAACTACTTCAAGGGCCGCTTCACTCTTCGGAAAGTTGGTCGCCTTTTTTAGAAGATAAAATCGCAAAGGCACTTGCTCCAAAATAATACCAAAATTATACCTATTATTTTCCTGCGCGATCATGCACCCGTCATTTGTAAGAACTCTCCTCTTTAAACTACCCAATGCAGTATAATGACAGTGCCGTTCCTGGTAACCAGTTACACATGTACACATCTTACCTTATCAGGATCAGTGCTACAGCTACAGCACTCTCATGGACACATGCACAAATCCTAATGAACTACGGATTAAGGATTCTTTGTTAAACGGGGGCCTGTAGTCTGGACAAAATGACTCGATAAATAATATTGGACGCGATACAATCCTTGTCGAACAATTGAATATGACCAAAGGTGGCCGGCGTCGCTGCAGTATGGAATGACGTATGTATATATATTAAACCCATAAAAGTTTTAAAATTGGTCTTAATTTTAGTTATTTGGTTATTCTGTTTTGGACTTGCAAATCATTTCTGTAAAATCTACTACGTTTTTAATCCAATTTTGCAACGCATGTTACAATACCAATCTAAGTAAGGTATTTGTGCTACATTGTGCATACAATATTTATCTGATTTATATTTATCTATTGATTGTAGTGTCTTTTTTTAATTCCTGATTGAACGATCGAATCAATAACTTGGCGTTTTAAGTTGCTGTTCCGCTCACAGAACTTATAAACGAAATAGTCGTTTGTAGTCTCGAGCCTCGGGTTTGTGATCGCGAACACCGAATTAACGAGACACAATTAACGAGTCGCAATTTCATGGCAATAATTTTATGGTGCAAGTCATCGCCTTATTTCAGTATACTAGAATGACTACCTCCCCCGTATGAAAATTCTCAATGTAAGACTAATTGCCAGAAAATGAATGACAACAAGCGCCAGTTTTACTCGTGGTTCTCGAAAGATGTCAATGTTTTTAAGAAGACAAAACCATCCTTTTGACGCTGCTTCACTTAATTTCCAGTATCAAAGGGTCAACTTAACGGAATAAACGTGTAACATTTCCACCATAGCACATTTCAAGCATGATAATGGCTCTTTTAACTCTTCCATATTCAATCCGATCATTACCAGCCACCACGGGTTAACATGATGTGATTACGTTCATCGCCAGCAAACGCTGAGACGTACTTATCGCCCTTAATTAAGTTTGCGACCATGAGACCAGCGGAATAGACCGTTGGAGGGCAGTAAGGGTTGTGGAATCTGGCCTCGGGGACTTCCGCTTTCTGAATTGCTGTTGTTAATGTTTTGGTTGTGTTACATATTGAATATATGGTCGACAATAATGCGGCAAACGAATATCCTTGTACCGTACATGTACATATAGAAAGACAAAGAACGTTTTCTTGAGTTCAATAATCGTTGTACTTAATCAGTGTTCACTCTGGTTTTATCGGCTTAGATTTTTGCATCGAAGTTCTGATGACCTTGATACCTGCCATAATTGCTGAAAAATTGCCAAAGTCACTTCTGTTGTACTTACTATTGACTAAGTAATCTGAGAACCGCAAGGGACGAACCATCCTGGAATAAGGCAGCCCATTGGTGTCTGCAATACTTTGGAGGGGCGAAACCGATATATCGACTCTCTAAATACTGCAATAAAGAGGAAGAGGAATGCTTTGATTGATGTCTGATTTCATTGTGGACAAATATTTGATTTGTTTATCAAAGATGCAAGTAGATTATACATTGAATCAAATGCGACTGTTGTACTCTCCCAACACTTATCCCAAAACCATGCGTCAGTCATTTCATTCAAGTGACTATGTCTGCATCGAGCCGCTGTATAGTGAACAAAGGCAAATTATATATCTATACCCTGATAAATCATTGGCAAAATTATCCATTTCAGTTCTGATGTCGCCAGTAACACCAGAAGATTGCACCAATCAGGCCGCTGCTCCGTGTCTGAGACCTTTTGCAGACTACTTAAAGATAATCAAACAGCTTATTCCAAAAATTACTCGCCAGGATCGGAATATGTGCATGTGAGTATGCAAGCACTTTAATAGACGTATTCTTTCTTTGAACATAAGGTTAAATTAAGATAACTGGATTATATTGGTAATGGTAATAAATACCATCTTATAGTTCTAAATGGTACCTTGTCACATTTACCAACTCCCTACACCATTATTTGAATAATATTCAACAGTTGCAACTTATCCAAAAAATAACTCTTTTGCAAATAATTTAAAGAGTTAATCTGTGTTACCCCGTCAAATTACTTGTGGTTTATTTTAGACTTTGCAGAAAGACAAATACAAATACTGTAACAATAACGGATTGAGAATATTCAGGAAGAGATGTCCTTTCCTCAACCACACACCCTGCTGAAAAATATATACTTTAATAGCGTGTTTCATTTCATTGAAATGCACTGAAATGTATACGGCACTTGATTCTGTGCAACCAAATCTTTTCAAGTCTTTTTTTCCTCGCATTGGAAGAGGGGTGGGGACGCGTAACACAGACTGACACAGACGTAACACAGACAGACTGATAAGTTTATTTCTGTGAACGAATTCCCACAGTGCAGAAAAATGCATGTAATTAGCCAGAGATATATCTGTGAATCTCCAGTGAATAATAATTCTGACCTTTTACATAATCAGGGCAAGTTTTATACTTGTTTGATAATAAAAGAATGATTTACATTGCAGCCAAAAGCTGCTGCCAATTTTCTGAACTGAGGAGAAAGTTAAGATACTAAATATGTTTAAGCGTACTTTTTAAATTTCATTTTATTGACATAATTCTAATTTTTAGTAAATCACATTATCTCATAGTTCCATACAAAACTGCTCTTTTTTAATGATTTATTATGCAAAAGTGCTTTCATGCATATGGCTGACACTTTAATAAAATATCTTGAATTTTGAAAAGTGATAAAAATCATCCCTGGTAGAGGGTACCTCCCCCCCCCCCCCCCCCCCCCCCCCCCCCCCCCCCCCCCCCCCCCCCCCCCCCCCCCCCCCCCCCCCCCCCC